AAGTGGGGAGTAGGGTTAAGTACGTCGCCTTGTCGTACTGCCGTACCACACGATCGTGTACTCCACACAGAGAAGGGCTATCCCTTGTTTTTTATTAAATGGCTATGGATTATCTCTCTAAAAGAGAGAGAGAAAAGCACAGGAGGAGAGGGACTACTTTGTTTGGTGTTTGTGGGGTTAGCGACCGTTCGGGGCTGATCGATTGATTGATGGGTTTAATTCCCCCCGCCAGCGCATTGGACTGGATGCCAACGGGTGCTGCTGCTACATTGTACTGCCACTGTACTGCACCGTATGACTTGCCTCCAAGGCGCCCTGCAGTGTACGGCGCCCCGGTTGGAAGGCCCACCCCTCGAATGCGGGACCAAAGTAGCTCACCGTCACCTGGGGCAGGTGGGGGGTTATGTATGTATGTATGTGTGGGACAGGGGGGTCATATCTTCACCCTGCGGTCGCTACCTGGCGAAGCCCTGCCTTCCCCGGTATTTCGGGGCACACCCTCATCCAGTCACCCTAGCCAACTTCTCAGTGGATCGCTCAGGTTCCGCACCCACCACCGGCATCCAACGAAATCTGCCGGATCGACAGCGGCCCAACTCCATTCCTGGTCAGCTCACAGGTCAACTTTATATCCCAGGTCACCACCGTCCGTCGACTAGGGCCACTATAACCTTCCACCATCGGAAGGATTTTCGACCCTGACAGGTCTCGATCCCGGGATCTCCCGGGGGCAATGGTCCGTGCCTTACCGGTAGTGCCTGACCTATATGTATGTATGCATGTGTTTTGCACCCCCTGGAGTTGCTTTACCCCCCCCAGTAGCCTCCCGAGGTTGCAGCAACCTCAATGGACCTCGCACCGTACAGACCTTGTACGTGTGCCGCTGCCGTTGCCGCTGGAAGCCGCCGCCAGGGCGTTGTCGTACGCCACCGCCGCCGCCGCCGCTGGCATCGGCCTCCTCCCCCTCCGTCGCTCGTCGCCCCGCCTTCTCCGCAACCCTGGAACCACCCGGATCCAAATCCAAATTAGGACACGCATCATCACCACCATCATCATCACCACCATCGTGATTCCGAGGCTGCCGCGGCGCCGCCATTGCCGCCTCGAGGTCAAACTTGTCCGGCTCCTGTAGCGGTACGGTATGTAAGGTATGTAGGGTACGACACAGTTTGGTGGGGAAATACAGATTTTTCCCTCAGGACAGATAGAGCCGTCACAGAGAGACAGGGAGCGAGAGAGAGATGTAACAACAGTAAAAAAACAGTAAAAACCCCCGGGACCGGGGCTCGACCGCCAAGTAGCAAACCAGGTGTATTCTTTAGCGCCCGCTGGTTCGATACTGCTGTTGTGTTCGGCTAGTTCGGTATTAACAATACATATGTACATGTGCTCTCACCCACCACCTGCCACTATGCGCGCATGTCCCCCAAACCTGCGGGCCCCCGGCTTCCGCTGCCCGGGAAACCTAACGAGGCCTACCACCACCACCTCCACCTCCACCACCACCGCCACAAAACCCAGCACCCCCCACCCCCCACCCCCCACCCTCAGCCGCACCCGCAGTCCCAGGCTGGACAAGCTCGCTCGGCCACACACCACCGCCTGGAAAAAGTCGCTGACAGCCTGCAGCCGTATGATGCGGCGGAAGGTGCGATTTTATGAGAACTAGAATGCCCGGGGGGGCCCGGGTGTTGGGTTTGTGGGGAGGGTGGTGGGTTGGTTTTAGGGTTTTTGGTGTTGCGGTTTTGGTGGGGAGAGAGAGAGAGAGAGGGGGAGATCCGGCCCGCGCTCGTCATTCACCTGCCAGTTGCGGTTGACAGTTAGAAAGGCCTTTTGCTCCCACGCGCTCCAACAGGGGTGGTTCCCGCCCTCAGCCTTGCTGCCCTTGGGGGTTGGGGCGGAGCACGACGCGGTGTCGGCGGCGGCGGCGGCGGCGGCGGTGGGGGTGGAAGGAGTGGCGAGTGTTGCCAGGCAATGGCATTGCTGCTGATGCGGCGGCGGCTCAGGCTCCGATGTATAAAGCGGAAGATTGCCGGCAGCAGTGGAGGTTGCTGATGCTGCGGCTGTCGCAGGCCTCATGCCGGACAGGTTTAGGAAATTGCTGAATCAAATTGCTAGCACCAGCTAGCATCAGCGGCTTTCCAGTTTAGGCCTTTATTCTCCCCTAACATACAATTTGCTACCGCAACTCAAGAAAGCCATCGGAGGCAAAATTATATGCTTGTTAATATTACATCGTGCCACGCGTGCTTGAAGTTTGACTGAAAAACGTTTATTCGAGCATGTGTTATTGTATGGCTTTCAAACATTGTTGGCTTGTGGCACTGGGGTTCCGTACGATTGAACGGATCTAACGGACAGGTGGTTGATGCCGCTTGCGCGAAACCACGTTCCGGGCTTTCTAGTAATGCGCGGTACGCAGTAGAGCGTCAAATCCGCCATCACTTTTGCCCTCTTTCACTGAGATTCGTGCCTGCATGTCTCGAACGTTGATGTAGAGCTGCAAGGCAACTCATCACCTTCACGCTTCGGAACGTTCAAAATAGGAAGGCTTGACATCACACGTATTCGGATTGCTTTCTGTCTCTGCTACAGCTTAAGGGCCGTTTAGCACTTTAGGCAGTCGGGAGCGGCACATTTCTGTCCGCAAACAGAGCTGTTGAGCTGGTTCCAATTACGAAAATCAATAGACCCAACATACGTTCGCTATGTAGACGCGCCAAGTGGGGCATCCTTAAAGTTATATATGCTCCGGACGTTTCGGCACTTTGGCGGCTGCAATCTGGTACGCTCTCTCTAGCAGCTCCATCATCGGTCCAGCCCCATCCGGCCTTCCGTCCAATCCCAATATATCCTTGCCAACCCCACCACCCCGCAATGCAAAAACTTATTGCCCCTAACCCTCCATCGCCACCGCCGGACCCGGCATCCCCCCCTGCCTCGCTTGCCCTTTTTCCCCTCCCATCTTTCTCCCACCGTTCTCCCACCGTCCTCCCACCTTCCCGCTGCACAGCGATACGGCTGTACCGAAGTAGTTCGAAACCCAGCGACTGGGCTCCTGTACGGATCTTCTCTCCACCTCGCCGCACTCACTCCGCCGTTGCTGCCGCAGCAGCCGCCGCGGCAGC